GATACACTGTCATAGTCTGTAAGTTCAGGGAAGATATCTTCTAAAAATAACTCTTAAAACAACTGTGCACCTCTCTCAAGTGTAGGACACCATCTGGTCCAGTATCCATAATCACATATAGAGTAGTGCTTCTGCTCCTCTCAAAAGAAATACATAGTATGTGGATCTCAGTGGAGCTGAGATCCAAGTGCGACAAAAATGAAATTGCTCTCATCTTACAGAGTTTGATTAAAGCTTTAGGCGTAGGGCTTTTAAAATGACAAATGTTCAGTGAAATAATATTATGTCTTTATACTCCAGAGCACTATTAATTTGAGGTTTCAGGACTTTAAGAAATGTTAATTAACTTGTTACCATTCATGTAAATTGTTAGCACTGCAGTCATTTTGTGGGCTGGTAGCTGAATCATGGAAAGGTAAGTTCTTCAGAAGAGTGAGATTGGCATTCTTTTCCCTATTAGGTGAACAGAGACATTTCCTACTCACGTAGGGTTTGTCTCAGTGGATCTTTCATCGGGACAGCCCACAAGGATCTGACCCAGAAGGCTGAGATGTTTTAAAAAACCTGATCATTACAGAACCCTATGTGAAATAATTCAATTTTTCATTATCTTTGATTGGTAAAGAGATAGGCCACACCGCTTCTATAGGTAATCACCAAAACATGTGACAGTCATAATTTTCTTCAAAATGATTGTATTTTACAACTTGTATGGAAAGAATTTAAAACAATGTAGTAACCATTTTGGAACTACCTGGTAAGTCCGTAGTACTGCATACAAACACCAAATAACCAGTGCAGTATTGCCATCTGTTGGTAATTGAGTAGGAAAGCTGCTCAACTACTAAAAAGCCTTGAACAATTTCTGTCTCTTAGGCTTGCTGTAGATTATTACTGTTTTCTTCCTCTGCGTGGCTGTTTCCCTCACAGGACATTTGTCCTCTGCCACAAATACTGGCACCCTTCTATTCCTCAGTGTTAAACTGATGAACATAGCAAAGTTAGAGCAATGCTTCCTGCCTATGCTTAGCAGGAAATTTGCTTTTTCTTTGCCAAAACTGAAGAAGATTCTGTATCTGATCGTCACAGTCTAAGTAAAAAGATTACCTCACCCTGACAACCTTCCCAACCTTAAAAAGCTAGTAGGAGTACTTAAAAATGTAGGTAGAGATGATCAGTTCAAATGTTTTGGAATTAACACATTACCACAGCCAGTTCTGACCATGTGCCTTTTTCCTGAAGCCCGCTCCAGTCTCACCTTGAGTTTCTTTGCTGATGTCAGTGAGCACCGTTCCACATAATCCACGGTAGTGAGTATGGGATCAGGTTTATTCCACTACTACTGACAAAGCCTGATGGCTGTGGAATGCTCTGCAAGTCTGGCCCATTTTTCCTATTTGGAACCTGGGATTTGATTTGAAAATCCAGATTTAGTCCTCAGAAAAATCTACTTTATCTGCTACTGCTCAAATATTTTGTTTCCTCTATTAGAAAACAATATTCAAGGATTCAAGGCTGTAGTTTTGTTTGCATTCATATAATAAAGCAAGTTAGTACAACGGATTTAACTGGAAATGGAATTATATATGAAAAATTCCTAGCATGCCGGAAATTTTCAATTAGGGAAATTAGCCACTTGGTTCTTTCTGATAAATTAATCACAGAGATTATCTATTAAACATGCCACTTGACCTTTCTGGCATAACTGCTGGAGGCAGAAGTATTTAGGCTCTACACATTCATTTAGAAATATTAATTTCTATGCAGCTGTCTTCCAGAATGGAATTTTCACTTGTCTTTCTTAATAAGTAGGTCATTGTGCAGCTGTTGTTAATGGAGGCTGGCATTTGTAAAATGGTAAATTCACCATTGTAGCCTATAGGTCAGAAAATGGATCTCCATCAATTACAGAATATCCTTTACTAAAATACCCTTTCTTAGCCCCAAAGGCTGTCATCCTTCGCTATGATAGCCTTTGGCCTTTCTGGAATGAGAACATGTTTCAGACATACTTTGCAAGAGCTGAAGCATCACTATGTTCACACCATCTTCCATTAGTCTAAGGTTCTGTCTTTGTTCTAAATGATGGCTTCCATCTACTTGCCTTAGAATTAATCTCAAGGAAAATTGGTAGGACAGCTAGCAGCTGTCAAAGAAGCAGCTGTCTAAACTTCTGAACCTTCCAGGTCCAAATCCTCCTCCTGCTGTCTACTATGAAATCAATTGATCTTTTCAGCATAGACAAGGCCTCACTGTCCCTATAGTGGTCAGCTGTCACACAGCTTACGGAGTGACAAGCCACTCCTGCAACAGCTACAAACCCTATCCTGTGGTCTTTAGAGATTAAAATTAGGACCTTGACCTGGATATCTTTTTTTAATGTCAGAAAATTTGCATAGTGTGCTGCAGGAATAATTTGACCTCTAGAACTTCCTGAGGAGCATGTACTCTGTAGCCTAGAGATAGAAGGCAGGAAATAAGGAAGTGCTGGCTGCAAAGAAGGACACGCAAGAAAACAAAATACAAATGTTGAAAGCTTAGGTTAATTAGATGAGAGAAAACAACATTTTGAAATCTTAAAGTATTATAAAAGAAAGCAAATGGAATTTGCAGCATGTGAACAGCATACACTGGAGTTATAGGTAACAAAATTAACATTTTAGAAAGTTGAATTAGTAGAAAGGCCGTGATGTTATTGCCTATATTGTGAACCAGAGTTAATATGTCGTTATTGATGACCTCAACTCATACATTCTTGCACGTATAAAATTAAGTATGAGGAGAATGGTTGTAGATTTGGGATGTGAAGCAAACATTGGGCTTGGGTCAGATGAACGTGAAGATCTTAAAGATTTAAGATCCCAAGAATGTGGAGACAATTCAGATAGTGCAAGGACCATGATGCAAAAAAGTCAAAAAAGGAGAAACAAAATTGAGTAGAGCTGTGCTGAAACATGGACAGAAATACAGTTGAGTGGTTGCACTGCGTAAAGACAAGGAATTCTATTTTCATTTGAACAGGAACAAGGACACAAACAATTACTAGATTCATGACTGATACATGTTGGAGCAGTAAGAAGCCACAGACCTGTGCTGTGACTTGGTAGGTTGAAAAAGAATTGGAAAAATGAGCTGAGAAAAAAAAAAGAACTATAGCAATGAATGAAAATTTAAGAAAGGAACCAGGGAAGACACTTTAGCTGTTGAGGCATCAAGGCAATTAAATTCTAATTTTTAAGAAGAAATTACAACTTTGATATTCCCAATATTTTACAGTGATAGGCAGGATAGGGGAATAGATACATTTGAAATAATAACAGAGGAAAAGTGGAAGCAAAATGGAAATTTTGTAAGTGTTTATGAAAACAACAGGATTGCTGGGAGGAGCTGCAAGAAAACTGAATGTAAATATGTACAAAAGGCAGAACTTTGATTTGAGACTAGCCAGTAAAAGGATGTGAAGGATGCTCTGAAAATGAAAGCAGAGCAACTACTGTTGGTAGCAGAAGAGAAGCTGTGGAAAATGTATGTGAGAGATCCTTGGGTTTGGTAGGAATGTGGTGAGACTAATGAAATCCTATTGGAGGAAAGTCGTACAGGTGAGCAGGAGTTCAAGAGGCGCCTGGATGAGGAGCTACGAGAGATGGTTTAGTAGCTTGTGGCACTGATAGGAATGGGAGGGTGGTTGGACTGGATGATCTTGCAGGTCGTTTCCAACCTTGCGATTCTGTGATTCTGTGAGTATTTCATGGCTGACTATGAAACTCTATCAGTAACATTTTTGAAAGGTTATTTATTCTTTCCCTATGTCTAATGGGAGATATTTATTAGGCCAAAGAACTTTAGATCCTGGGTTACAGCCTGCCTGTGTACAGGGGAGGTCTGGTATTATTGAGGTTTTTATCCCAAAGACTTTGAAAAGGAGGGAAAATGTATGAAGTTGACATGGAAGTGCACCTGATGATCCAAGTGGCTTCTTAAAGACTTAGTGGGCACTTGTGTGCTTCTTTGTGGAATCAGAGTCCATTTGTTACTTTTTTGTACCTCATATGAAGGTACACAGGACCACAGCTTCTGGAAGGTGCTTGGGCAGTGTGAAGGAACCAGCGCTGCCCTGGACAAGTTCCCCTGGGCTACAACAGGAGGGATGAGCGTAGCCTTCAAAAATGTAAAAAAAGAAAACAAACAAAAAAACCTGAAAACTTAGAATGTTTGAGATTTATTATGCTGAAGGAAAAGTCTTTTTACTGTTTATTACCACAGTGACCAAAGTACACTTTTGCTAATGTAACTAAGGATCAGTTCAGAATATTTTTTGAGCGAGGATAAAGACACTGGTTCTACTGCTGCAGGCTTGGGCTGTGATTGTAGCAATCTGTGCCAAGTGACTCTGATTTAGGCTCACATCCACCAAAGGGCTTAGGTGCTTAAAATATGACTTCACCGGGATTTATTCACCTAAGCCCCAAGAGCATAATCTCCAGAATTTGACACGCCTTTGTACGCCCGTGCGCCGCACAGCCGCTGCTCACAGAACCGAGCAGCCGCCGCCCGGCCGTTACATAAGGGCTGGCCCTGCCGAGGGCGCGGCACCGATCCGTCTGAAGCTGCGGCCCAGAGCTGCTGCGCTCAGCCGCTCGGGGATTTGGGCGCCTTGCTGCCAGCTGGGGGCTCGGAGCGCTACGGCTGCCCTAAGGCCGCGTGCCGAGCCCTCACAGCGCACCGCCCCGGCCCCTGGCAGCCCTACAGCCGGGCTGCGCCGCGCGGCACCACGCAGACGGGTTGAAACCAGGCCAGCCGGGTTAAAAACGAACCACGGAACTCAGCAGAGCCCCACACGGCTGCTCCGGGCCTGCGCTGATTTATAACGGGGCGAGCCTCCGCCTGCCCCGGGAGCCGCTCGCAAGCACCGCAGCGCTGCGTGCAGCCCCAGCCCGGCAGGGAGGGAATCGCAGAGGGGAAGGAGCCGGGGCGGGGCCGGGCTCCTGCTATAAAGGCGGGGCGGCAGCGGTCGCCTCACTCTGTGTGCCCGCCGTTCCGTGTCTGCTCTCTTCCCACCTGGCCGCTGGCATGCCGCTGTCCGCAGACCCCCATTTCAAGAAGCTGCTCGAGTGGCACAAGGCGAACGCCTCCAAGCTCGTCCTGCGGCAGCTGTTCGAGAGCGACAAGGACCGCTTCCATAAGTTCAGGTGAGGCTACGCAGTCCCTGCCCGCAGTCCCTGCCCGCCCTCCCTGCAGCCGAGCGGCGCGATCCGCCGCGGGTCCTTCCGCGTGCGAGGTCCGAGGCCGCGTAGGGCTCCCGCCCTGCAGAGCGCTCCGGTGGGCGGGGGGAGCTGGCTGTAAACGGAGGAGATGCGGCCCCCTTTTCCCCCGAGGTCTGACGGGGCCGCGAGGAGCCGCGGCACGCGCGGAGGGCCGAGCTGGAGGTAGCTGCCCGTCTCGCCGGGGCTCCGGAGGCGGCGTGGAGGCGGCCGCCGCCGGCCGAGCCGAGTGCTCGGAGGCCGCTCGCGGGCCGGGCACGCGCTCCTGGGCCTGCAGCGCCCCCCGGCCGGGCTGCGGCGGATGGCGCGGGGCGGGGGGGCTCCTCCGGCAGCCCCGAGCGCGTTGGGCGCGCGTGCTCGTCCTTGACTCATCCTTGCGGCGCGGTACGTGCCGGGCAGCACAGCGCCGGCTGCACGGCGGCGTTGTGGGGCGGCCATCTCGCGGCCGCGTGCTTAGTCATGATAAGCCCCGCGATAAGATGACTGCGGTGATGGCCGGAGCCGCTTCTTTGCCCCCGGCTGCCGAGGTTAGGGCAGAGCCGGCCCCCGCCCCCAAGCGGCCCTGCTTGCTTCAACTCCTGCAACCCGCGTAGTAGCCAGCACCTTGCAACGCTTTTTTTTTTTTTTTTTTTTTTTTTTTTCCTAAAGGAAGTGAGACGTGGAAGCAGTGAGAGCCTTTGGTTTCCTCAGCCTGTAAAATGGTAGTGCTGTTTCAAGTGCCCTCCTGGGCTGTAGCAGTCAGACGGGTCTGTGTGTGGAGGAGCATTGCTGATGCTCAGTTCCACGTAAGCCTGGGCAATGCAGGCACAGCAAGCTTCTGTTCTTAAATGCGCAGATAGGACTTCCTTGTTGCACGTGTCAATGCTTCTTTCAGCATCCCAGGTCAAGTGACTTCTTTCCCCTTGAGCTTATCACGTGCTACTTAAACTGTAATGAAACACCACATGTAAAGGTCCACATAGCCATTTTGCAGGGATGGAAAAGGTGTGCCAAGTTTTTGGACCGCTGATTTTATCTGGCTCTTCTGACAGAACGTTGCTTAACTGTGAGAACGGTTTTACTAATCTTAGTTAAATCTTTTTTCAGTAGGAAATAATGTTCTGCTTGCGAGCTTTCCGTATCCCCCCAAATGTTCCAAGAGACTGACTCTCCTAATATCCATAGGATAATTCCTAATATCCATAGGACAAAAAAGAGCTGACTCAGACTGGCTGAGTAAATCCTAAGGTATAACTGAGGTGCTGCTTACAACACTGAAGTTCAGTCTTATTAGCTGTTGCCTCACTAAGCTACTTTAACCATAAAATCTGGTATTTGTTTCAAGTAATCTGTATTGAATTTCTTGTGATTATGTTGTAGACTTCAGATGTTATGCTGCGACTGTGTATCATTAACTGGAAGTTACCAGACGAGTGATGCTTTAAGCACACAGACGCTCATTTGCAGCTCCATACTGGAAGCAGTCAGTGTGTGTCCCCCAGAATGTGGTTATCCGACTTGTATTTTTCTTATGAAATGCTATTAATGAAGGCCACCTGTCTCTCATATATCTCTAAATTTGTGTTTGTTTAATCAAACTGTAATGAGAAGAAACAGTTGTGGTATTCTGAGATTGTTTTATTTCACTTCATGGATTTGGTCCCATTTTGTGATAAATCCACGCACTGTGCACTGCTAGGAGAACTTCATGGGAGCAAATAAAAGTGCTGAACAGACAGCCAGGTTTAGTTTGGCAGATCAGCTTGCACACTTGTCACTGATCCCTGCTCTGCTGCCATCCTGCAGATCTGACTCATGGCTCGCATCTGCTCAGAGCTGGGCCCAGAAGGCTTCCCAAAGGCCCTCTGTAATTAGCACCTCTTCCCCCATGAGCTTCTTTATGAAGGCAGTCAGCTCTTCTGAGAGTGAGCATAAAATAATTGACTTTCTTCTGAGGAAAAAAGAAAATTATACCCAGTTAAAAGTGCTTATTGGTGTTTGTGTTGTAAGAACTTTAGAATAACACCAATTTTCAGTTTGAGCACCTCACTTCAGGGACTCCATAGCTATTAAGTGCTACTATAGGAACCTAACGCTCACTGGCTGTGTCCCATGCAGTACAGACCCTTTCTTCCTTCTGTCTTGTCTCCACTTGTGAAAACTTGCACGTCCTCTTCCTGATACAGCATGGTCAGACCTGTAAAGTAAACCTTGGGCTTTGTGTGCTGCCCAGATGTAAGGTCTGTAGCAATGGTCAGCCTTCCACTTTCTAGTGATAGGCTGTGTGACTTAGGTGTGGATGTGGCTTACATGACAAGTGGCGTTCCACCCAGGTAGTGCTCTCAACAGATGCTGCATTGCAGAATGGATAGTGTAGCAGAATGTAGCTGAGCTGAAAGGTTTTGTGCTTCCGTTTGAAGGGGTGGAACTGTTGGTTCCAGAATGCAGGGTGAGATTAGGGTGTGTGCATGGGAGGTGGGGAGTTAGACCTGCTGTGTTCACTGGTAGCCATTGCTACTGCTTCTTGCATAATGTCTTGGGATGCCATCTGGCTGCAGTTTCTTCCAGTATTTTTCTTTAAGTTACTGAAAGCAGCAAGGTGTCCAGGCCTTGCTGATTATTGTTATTACAAATTCCATCCATTCCAGTCTTCTTGTCCAGATTGTTGCCTGCTCAATTGTATCTTTTTGGAATGACGACTGTGCTGTGTGTTGTCTTGTGAAGTTCCTAGCATAGGTAGCACTAAAATAACAGTGAATGTTATGGGGCCTCAATATTGAGAAAGAAAAAGCAGGGCAGAAATGCCATCAGTTTAGATATGTGCCATTTCCTATGGTCAAGCGTGTGGAGCAGAAGTGGGAGTAACTTAGGAGCTTTTGTCTAAAGCCCTCCAAATAACTTATATGTGTGAGTTCAGAGTGTGTTTATTCATTAGGTTGTTAATTAGTGCAGAGAAATTGGTAGAAAATAGTAAAGGACAATAGGGGAGCTGTATAGATTCTCATTTAGATATGAGGTTAGTGAACATGAAAGGGCTTGGTTGACTTTAACAGACTACTGTCTTAATGTTTTAGCTCAGATGTAAAGCTCACGTGTTTGTCTTCTGAAATGCTTGTGTATACTAAGGGTTGGTAAAATCGTATCGAGAATTCACTGAGGCTGTGAGCAAAATAAGGCTGTTCATTGCACAAACAAGATATAATTCTGCATTGTGCTTGGCAGGTAATTTCTCTCTGAGTTGTTTAGATATGTAACTTTTCCTACTACTGTAGGAGAAAGTACGTCTGGATTTGTTGAAATGACCTGTATGTAACTGAAAGCAGTTTGGTTTTCTTAGCAGCAGCATATTGTGATAAGCTTTTTTACCTATTGTGTTTAGGAAAGAACCTAATTGCTGGAGAAAGCTCGTGGCTTGGTGAAACAGAATGTGATTATGCAGCTATGCATTAAATAAACTTCATGGTGTTTGTGTTTTTACAGACAGAAATGGACACAATAACTTAGCTTGTTTGAAACAGCCATCTTCAGTTTAAATGATGTACTCTCTGGTAGATCATCTTACAGAACTTGTGGGGCCAGTTTGTTTCTCAGGTCCTCTTTACTAACTTAGACCAACTAGAGTTCAAGTTGCTGAACTTGTAGAGTTGTCATTGTCTTGCTGAAAATCCTTCATGAATGTGCAATTAACTGAAGTGTTTGTTTTGATAGCCTGACTCTGAATACTGATCATGGGGATATCTTACTGGATTACTCGAAGAACCTGGTTACAGAAGAAGTGATGAAAATGCTGATTGAACTGGTAAATAAAACTCTTTTGTTAATTCGGTGCCCTAAGAAAGTTAATTACCTGTGACTGACTACTCTAGCGTTGTTTATACATATTTAGCTCTGAATTTGATTCCATGTTCAAGATCATTAGTTAGTAGGTCTTAATAGGCATTGTTGGAAGTCTTGCATTATCCTTTGGCTACATGGAGTTAGGCCATTTTTCAGTGCCCAGATCTCTCTTGAGCTCACTGAAAAAACCTGTTCTCTGTAGCAGACTGGTTGGTGTCTCATAATGTTACTGAAGTCTGCAGTAAAATAAGGGATTAATATGAAGCTGTAAGAAAAGCTGATGACTTGTAGACCTGAAACTGAAATATTGTTTCATACGTCATGTAGTTGTAGTTTTGATATTCCTTTGCAGTTGGAGGTATTTTAAGAAGTTTTTGTCTTTAACTTCAGCTTGCTGTTCATAATTACCACCCTTCCTTAACTATTGCTTCAGTCACACCTAGTGTGATACAGTTCTGAAACAGCACTTCTGTTGCTGTTTTAATTGTTCTTTATAAATACTGTTAAAAACTGTCATAAATGGATCCTGTAGCAGTCTGAGATGAAACCCAGTAAGTCTACTCACTACATTTTTGTCTCTTGTGCATGTTGCTATATATCCTGTTAAGGAAATAAATAGCGTGCAAAAAAATACTTGCTTTAAATGAGAGAGTCTGTTTTTAAAGTAGCGCACAGTGAGTCCTTCATCTAACAATTTCTCTTTGGCTGTCTTGTGGTAAAAGCTTGCCCTCCTTTCTGTTAGCTGGACCTTTGCAGTACGAGTTGACTTCTTGCTATTTTTAAGAGGAATCTATTTTTACATTACTCAGGCAAAGTCAAGGGGTGTGGAAAGTGCCAGAGAACGAATGTTCAGCGGAGAGAAGATCAACTTTACTGAGGTAAGGCTATTTCTGTCCATAGTTCTTTTCCCCCTCAGTTGTGTGTGTGTGTGTGTGTAATTGTGAATGTTCATGCATCTTTGTAAGAGATGAGTCTTTGAAAAACTTAGTGTAATTACTACTTTGAAATACTGAAAGTGTTTGTAATGTTTGTTCATTAGTTACATGAGAAATTTCAACAGCTCTGACAAAGACAGAAGAAAATGTGAATAAGGTTGTGTAAGGCTCTCTGCTCTGGGTTGCTGAAGCTGCTTAATTTTGGGTACTTCTGCTAGTAGAGACTATTAACTGTCTTGAAAAATTAGCCACCTCTTTCAAGAAGACTGGTTATATTCCTGTCTGTAGGTCTGAGAGTTATAATGTTTAAATCTTCACTAGAATATGCAGAGGATAAAACTGTACCTCTTTTTCCCTAAAACTAAAAGTAGGATGGAATCAATAATATAGAATTATGAATTTGCCTGCCTTAAAGTATGTTTGAGGCAATCTTGCAGAACTAAGTATTTCTTTTGGCTTAGTTGGCTGAATTTTAGGGTTAGAGTTATTCTTCACTTTTTACCAGAAAGTACATTTGGTGGTTGAAGACTTTTCAGAAGGATGTACTTTCCCCAGTAGCACTTGAAACCAAATGCATCATACAGTGTAATGGTGTGTTCATCTGCTACTTCTGCTAGTTCAGTGCTGTCGGAATGTGGTGACTTGATTTAACAGTAAACTACATGTTGACTTTGGTCTTCTCAATTTTCAGGCTACTTCTCATTTCTGGTCAGAATTTGACTTGGAATTAAATTTGGTGTAAATCAGTTTCTATTAATGTAGAACAGCAAATTGATTTAGTTATGGAATATGAACATGTAGACATCGTGAAATGTTGATGAGGCCTTAAACAGATTGCTGTCAAATAGCTTGATGGAATAAACCTAGAGCAGCCAGACAGAAGGGTGCTGCTTAGTGTCGAGAACTGACTTATCCACTACTCTTATTCTGATTTAGAGCATTCTTTAGATATTTATCGTTAAGTATTTAAGACATGTCTGTATTTGGTGCTGCAGGCATTGACTGCTTGGTTGGTCCTTATGTGGAAATTTTTTATAGCGTGCTCAAGCATGATATTGCCAGGTGTTTGTCCTGATGAGTTAGAACTTGTAGCCTGGTATGCTGCAAAGACAGTGCATTACAAGGTAGCACATATCTGACCACTGCTTATGAGGGCATTCTTTACTGCCTACCAAAATTTAGGACATATTTTTGTGTAACAGTAGTTTGAATGCCAGTACTTGTCTTGATGAAGAAAAATCTGTTAAACCAGATAATGACAATATTCACCAGTAGTGCCATTCCATGGCCAAGAGTTTAAAAACAAACAAACAAAAAAAACCTCAAGCCTGTTTGCTCCAGATTTAAGCACATCTTCATTATTAACAACTCAAACCATGGACTCTATTTTTTTTTTTTTAATGAGTATTTTGTATTTAAATGATAGCTTGGTATATTGTTGGTGTAGTTCTTTGTCTCTCAGTGCCTCTCATTGTAATGAGGAACAATGAAACAGGAGACAAATTATTTAATTCATTCAGTAGTATTGACTACAGCTCCTTTGCTCTAGATTAAAACCATAAGCTACTGACAGGCAAGTTGGAGGTCAGATTTCAGTGTTTAGACTTGTGGCAGCATGCATGTTGCTGTGCTAATTCTCTGCTAATAGGAGAATTTTTTCCCCATAGATACCAACTGCTGTGTATCTGGTGTGCAGGATATTCAAGGAACCTTTAATTGTGGCCAGTGGATATAATATTGTGGTTACTGTATCTCAGCATCTGATGAAAAATATTTGTCTCTGGATAACTGAGAAAATACCAAAGAAATGAACTGTTTTATTTTATTAATGTCCTTATTAATAGAAAAACTTTTGTAGGTCTGAAAAAAGTGTGTTACTGAGGACTTGAATATTGCTGAATTCTGAGCCTCAAATACTCAATGCTTTGTAAGGGACCTTGAGTGCTCTCGTTAAAGTAGTTAAAATAACCTATTTGTTTACTTGGTGAGATTGTGAGCCTTCTGCACTGATTCTGTGAAGTGAGGGTGATTAGGTAGCTGGTGGTGTGTGTATATGTACTGTAATGCTATAATGGGATAGCAAGGTCTTTGATGACAGCAGATGAGAACGTGCCCAAATGCAGCAGCCACGGAAATGAGGGAAAAGAGCTGCTTACCTCAGGTATGCAGGCATCTCCAGCAAGAATGCCCTCACCTCCACTGCCAACCCTTAAATGAGGGCTGGGAAGGGCTGCAGCCTGGCTCCACCCCTTCTGGTCACTCAGGTGCACTGCATGCACTGAGCTCCCCTGGGTTGGCCCTGCCTTCCCACCAGGTGCTCAGTCACTGCTTCAGGCTGTGACTCAGCATTTCCACTACACATGCACACAAAGGACTGCTGCCAATTGCAGTTAATCTGAAGAGCTTTTGATGGTGTTTAAGATTCTACTGCCTTCTGGATTGGAAGCTTTGGAGTTACTTCTGACTTGTACCTTCTCTTTTCCTCTTGTTTCAGAACCGAGCTGTGCTTCATATTGCTCTGAGAAATCGTTCCAATACCCCGATACTTGTAGATGGGAAGGATGTTGTTCCAGAAGTAAACAAAGTGTTGGACAAAATGAAACACTTCTGCCAGGTATCGAGTAGCACCGTAACGCACCTTTCATATACTATAATCAGTCAGGCTTCCTTATATGCATGTTGTCAAGTGTTGATTGTAGGCTGATTCGCAGTCTGTTCCCTGCTTTATGCAGGTTTCTAACAGAACTGTAACTCCACATTCAAACCAGTAATAAGAATGACTTGCTTTGCTGAAATCATCAGTCAGAATATCACTTCCAATGCAGATTTAAAATAAATCTTATTAAACAGCATCTATGGGAAGATGAACAAAGATCCTTGTTTCAGTTGACTCACTTAGGCAGATGGAATTTAAAAACCATGGCAACACCATTTACAGGCTATGTGATGGTGCTTACTAAAAATGGTTCTGTATTTGCAGGAAGTAAAACAAAGCTTTTGCTTAAAAACATCTGCAGAGAAGGAGATCAAGTATCAGCATGATCAACAGCTTAAATTGTAGAAACAGTGCTTTAGAATGGGGGAGTTTACGTAGAAGTGCACATGATACTGGAAAGATACCTTTAGGGATTAGAGTAGCATTTCATGTATGGATGGTGCGTAATGGACAGAAGCCAGTGCAGTATTTTGATACTGTTTAATGATTTTATTTTTTTCTTGTTGGGATTCAATAGCTATTAAGAGTCAGCAAGAACAGAGAACTCTATATGCTTCAAAGCTAAACTCCAGAAGTTTCAGTGCAAAATATACATAAATATGCAGTAGAGAAGTCTTTCAAATGCTCAGTTTGCCCATAAGTGCTACCTCTAAGGCTTTATTACAAAGTTTTCCACTTTAATTAGAAGTGATTTTGCTAATTAAGGACACCTGAAATAAAAAACTTGAGTCAAACATCTCATGCAAATAATTCAGTACCTAAGATTTTTTTCATTTTTAGCTTGATTTATTTTGCTTTTATACTCATTTGTTGTAAATGCTGTAATAATTCACATTCAGGAAGGCAGGATTTAATTTTGCAGTTTGTTATACATGTGTGTTAAAATTCTAATTGCTAGCTAGGTGCTTAGTTAACATTTACTTCAAAGAAGTTAGTATAAAACTGAGTTGTCTTAGGAGATCCTCTACAATAGTGCTTGAAAACAGCCTGCTTCCAGTGTTAGAATTGTTGACTTCAACATATAGATAAATAAATAAATAAAGTACTTACTGTGTTCATTTCCCCCCCACGTTAGAAAGTCCGTAGTGGTGAATGGAAAGGCTACACTGGAAAAGCTATAACTGATGTGGTCAATATTGGGATTGGTGGCTCTGACTTGGTAAGCTCCTGACTTACATATATCTTTCCCGTCTTTTTTGTATGTGCATATGTACAATAATGACAGCCTAACTGCTACTTCTCTCCAGGGACCTCTGATGGTAACTGAAGCCTTGAAACCATATTCCAAGGGAGGTCCACATGTTTGGTTTGTATCTAACATTGATGGTACTCATATAGCCAAAACCCTGGCTGTGCTCCATCCAGAAACCACGCTCTTCATCATTGCATCAAAGGTACGTCTAAGAACATCACTGGTATGACTTTTTCAGGTGATGAAGGATTCAGTCAAAACAGCTTCTTCCACAGGAAGGTCTCAATTAGGTATCTGTAAAGTGAACTATTTCTAAAAAAGCCTGTTCTTATTCTTCCTAAACTTGGAATTGAAGTTCATACTGCTACTGAAATATTCAGGGGTACAGTAGTCAAGCACTGGAAGTGATTCAACCAGCCTACACAAGTAATGCATGAGCAACTTCCTGTTGTCCTGAGTGTTTCTCAGTCAACACAAATTGAAGTTATATTCTCAAAAGCTTGCTTTTCTATACCTTGCTGTAGGTTGGGGTGCGTCATCTCACATAGAACTCAAGATTTTGTCACATTCCATAATTCTGCTTGTGGTCTTTCACATTGCTTATTACAAAGTACAGTGTTAATTGGTCATAGTGCTGTGTTCGGTTTTCTCACTGATTTTTCACATTAATGTAGTTTAGGAATCTTCATTCTGTTTTAGAAGATCTTTTACTACTACCTTAAGTAACATAAATGTTGGCTTCCTTGGGCACAATAAATACTAAGCTTCTTGCTTTATGAACAGGCAAAGACAGGCTGATGGTAGTGTTTAAGATGACATTTCATTTTTGAGTACAGATGTAATAACTGCCTTTTTAAGTCTCAGCTTACTAGTAAGCTTATTCTTAAATTTAATGCTTAATTGCTAGCTGCCATCATTGTTTACTTCCTATATTGCTTCCCTCTTATCTGAGGAAACTGAAGACAGAATTCTGTCATTCCGTCATGTTACGTAACTTGGGTTGTTTGATTTCTGAAGCACAGTAGGCCCTTCTTATTGTTGAGGACAGAATCTGCAATAAATTAATGTGTGTAATGCTGGCCATGCTCTACTCTGCTCATTATTTTATTTTGGCAATACTGTGGCAGAGCAACTTATGGAATAATAAGAAAACTTCACAAAGTAATGCTAATGGTCAGTTTTGAATAACTGAGTTCAGGCGTCATGGTTCAAAGCCTTAGAAGACTGCCAGATTAAGAGTAACACTTCAGTTTCTATTTGCTAAGCTGTACTTGGATAATTAAATATCTTTGGAAGAGGGTGAATGGGATTTTTTTTGTTTGCCATAACAGGCTTGTGTTTCATAATGAAGTATGTCTGGAGATAGATGAGGGTAGGTTGAACGTAGTGTTCACTCTTAAAGGAAGATTTTGATGGTTGAGTACATCAGAATGACTGTACATCTGCATGACTGAACTTCTTTGCACACTTCATGAAGCAGGAAAACGTTTAATCAGCAAAATACTTTTAGCAGAAATGAGTGCTGCTTCATGGAAGAGAAGGAATTAAAGATCAGGAGGACAGTCCAGATGGATTGTCCTGTTTTGAAGCTCGATCATTTCCTTTTTGAGTGATTAAAACTTCATATTTAGTGAAATACTGAAGTAGGAAACTTCAGTTTTCAGGTTTGTGAGCCACTTCTAGGGAGGGAAGGAAATGGGGAATAATAATTCCAATTCCAGCAAAATGATAAAGTGGTTTGATAAGCTTGCTTTTTTTTCCTGGAGTGTGGCAACAGCTGTCTATTATGAGCCTCTCTTCCAGATAACTACAGCAGGTTAATTCTGAATGATGTTTTAGCAACTTGAATTTGTTTCAATTTTAAGTATAAAATGTGTCTTCATTTTCTGATTCTCAGACCTTCACCACCCAAGAAACTATCACCAATGCAGTAACGGCCAAAGAGTGGTTCCTACAGGCTGCTAAGGATGTAAGTCTAATGCTTGGGTTACGTAACAGAACGCAACTGATTCCTGTTGTGCAGTTTTTCCCTACTCATTTTAAGTGTGCTTTGGAGCAGGGCCAATAACTGCCCAAATGTAAGCTGCATAGCTTAGCAAATGCTGTAGAGAATGTTGAAATGCATCATGGTTAGTGGCAAGCTGTCTGACTGAAGCGATAAAACAAGTTTTGTGTTGTCATTGTTTTTTTTTTTTTTCTCTCCCAAATTCTGCCTTTAAATAACATGATAGTATCTGCCTTAGAGCTGGTTAATGGTTTAGTGGTACCACTGGCATGGAATCAAAGAATATGGTGTCTGCCTGTCATTATCTTCCAATTGTTGACACGTTTTTCAAAGCTAGAAATGAAACTATGGTTGAAGTAGTATACAGAGATTCCATAGCAGGTGGCTGTGCTTTGAATAGAAACCTTGTATTAATTTAACTCCCTCCTGTTTCTGACCTTTAAAAGGAAGAAGCAAATACTGCTATACTGCTTGCTTAGGTAGTTAACAATCTTTAACATGTTCTAGTCAAAATAGCTGTACTTAGGTTGAAAACTGGGCTTTAAAGTTTCTCATTATAGAAGTTTGCCAGAACAGTCATTAAAAGACCAAAGTCTAAATCTCTAGCTTGAAGTTTATCAAAAGTTGCAGCTGTTCTTGATCCTTCCTCCCTGGGAGAGAGGGGTACAACAGTTGAAGTGTTCAGAAGTGGCTTTAGTGATGCAGCAGGCTGATTATGTACTTAGAAAAAATGGTATGCTACTCCAAGTAGCCTCTACTTCCAGTGAGAGAGATTCATGAGAACATTGTCAGAACACACTTTCTTTGGATGGGCATGCTGTCAAGTCTTACAGTGAATGTGAATAAGATGATTTCAAGTTGATAAATGCAAAAATAACTGATGATAGTAAACTATTTTTTCTTACATGTAAAATAGAAGCAAATAGGTTTTATAACAAGAAATGAAAATAAGTAGCATTCCAGATCTAATGGTCTTCATTTTCTATTAAGCCTTCAGCTGTGGCCAAGCACTTTGTTGCCTTGTCTACCAATGGTGTAAGTATAACAATCTTATTTAGACTTTCTTCTGTGTACCTTTAAAATAGTTTCCCTGTACAATCAAGTAAGGAAGCCTTTATTGATATTCAAGTAATGGTGTTTTAGTTAGACTTCCTGTTGAAATAATGCATTTATTCTACTGGAAATAATGGAACACTTCCAAAGTACTGAACTGCAGCACCACTGTAGATTACTTTTTCTTCTAGAGCTTTGTAAATCTGAAATGATAGATGCTTCCAGTATAAGAGCTTTCTGTTATTAAGAGGGGTACTTGTTACTTCTTAAGTATGTGTGCATGCAGTTTCTCTATAAACAAATGGTACTCTTAAACTCTTCAGATATTTGCTGAAGTAATGCAGGTAGCTTGTGTGAATGTTACGTGCAATGAGCATGACATGCACTGTCGTGGCATTGCATAGGGGGGAAAAAAAGGCTAAGTTGGAAAGAGATGCAGCAATTAGACTCTGGTAAGTGAGAGGTTGTTAAGTAATCGGGTGTGAAGTTCCTTTTTCCGCTCTAGGCACTTCAAATGTAGACAGTGCCAGTCCTAACTATATTGCTATTCTTCTCATGTAAGGAATGTATGTCTTAGCATTCAGAACTGCTGAATGGTGATAATGGTATTTGGAAATGTAAGTAGGCTTTATATTTGTGACGGAAGCGATGTAATTTTAAAATGCTGTAATTGGGCAATTGTGTATTTCATAGGCACCAAACTTGTGTTTCTTATTTGCTGGACATCAAAATTCTTAATGTTTTATTCTTCCCTACTTTTTTTTTTATTCTAGCCTAAAGTTAAAGAGTTTGGAATTGACACTGAGAACATGTTTGAGTTCTGGGATGTAAGTAGAAGTCTTAATATTGTTCAGTAGTTGGAATATCCATTACAATTAAAGTATCTATTAAATAAAGTTATTCTAAGAAAATCTTGACTAGATGTGACTGACCAAAAATGAAACAAAAAAAGAAATCCCCCCCCCCAAATAGTACTTGTATTCTTAGCACTGAAACGTGAAAAGTCATGACTGAAACAAACTAAGAGTGTGCCTAACAAGTAGAACAGTCTTGTCTTTGGCAACAGGATTTTAACAGAATAGTTTAGAGATCTGGAGAGGAGCCTTCTATGTTCTTGGCTGACTAATCATCTGCTGGGTAATAGGAGATAGAAGTATTACCTTATTCCTAGTTATTATAAGCTGTGACATTTGACTGTTGGGGTCTACTGTATATAATCTACGCCTGTAAAGGTCAAACATTACAAACAGGAGTCTAACTTTGATATTTTATAGGACATGCATATTTTAAGTATAGTGCATCTAGCCTTGACCCTTCTGCTTCAGATCAGTTTGGTTTGTCTGATTGACTGTGCTTGACAAACTAAATCTTACAGCTGCAGTTTAGAACTTACCTACAGTGTTACCTTTCCCTAGGTAATGTCAAAACCTTGCTGAAGCAGATTGTACTTATAGAGCATGAGTACTAGGAAAACATTTAAAGCTTGTATTTCAAAGTGAGCTGCAGACATTCTGAAGGGAACTGCTTCAGCAGGAATCATGTAAATCATAGCCTCTGGACTAGTTAGAAAACTTTACATCCTCAAAGAAATGCATACTTAAATATTGGTTAGAGGGCTGCTGTAAGGTCCCCTTGACTATGCTATAGGGTGTATACTGGATTATCAACAAAAACTATGTTTTGCTGAAAGTGGTTAAACATGCTGCTATTTTGTAGTAATTTGAACAAGTTTGAATTTCAAACCCTTGTGCTTCTCCTGCATAAACCACTCTTTTGTTTTCAGTGGGTTGGTGGTCGCTATTCTCTGTGGTCAGCCATTGGTCTCTCCATAGCCCTTCATATTGGTAGGTATTCATGTGATTAACAAGAATCTATTTGGGGATTATACTTGTAGAATAACTGAACTGTACTGGATTGTGAATTAAATTTGGGACAGACAGTTTTACCCAACCTCCTCTGTAAGTAGGTGAATGTTTGTGCTGAAACAAATAAATGCAAAGGAAATGACATTTCATAGTACTTCTGACATCTTGGAAATTGCTCCTATGTAGGTAGAAATTGTCAGATTATCTCTTTAGTTGCCTGTGTAGCCAAAAGTGCTTGGCTTTTGTAAAGCCACGTCAGCCTTGAAAACTAAATCTTGTAGCTGATTTGTCTCAACTATTTAAGAATAGAGTATCAAGTTTGTGACAGTATATACACTTCAGTGCACCAAAAAAGGTTGAAATTCGGCATGAAAGCTGTGTGTAGAGTGGAAACTGTTCTTTCTCCCATCACATACTTCCTGCACCACTACTTTCTCTTAAAAACAGCATTCATGTACCACTAGACTCCATAGTCTATCTGCAGTTGGTTGTGAAGCAAACATAGATAGCCTTGTAAATTGATCCTCACCTATCTTAGTGCTCTGAGGCACCATTGGTGTCTGATGCGTATCTCACATGCAGGTGGTGAGTACAGAGTGTGTGAAAGAGCTCTGGGAAGTGCTTTTTCTTGATGAACAGGCTGTTGTACATTCCTGTCTCTTCCTTCATCATTCCTTTCCAATAATTATTCTGCGACTGTAAAGTTATTAGTGAAAGCTAGAATTTCCTTAGAATGACATCAAAAGAAAAAAAACTGGTTGTGGAATTCTTGGAATGGTGTTAACAGGAGTTGTCATATGTGGGAAAAGCATACTTGAACAGCAAAATAAGCGTCAGGCACCTACTGTTTTGTCTGCAATAAATTGTTCATCTCTACTGTCAGACAGATACAGTGCTGACTGCTGATGTGCCAGTCTGTCTGTGCTGCTTGATCTTGCATCCTTCATCTGCCAGAGCTGCCCCCTGACCATAGCTAGAGCTCCTGCTTTGATTGTCAAACACTTCACCACAATCTCAGGGTTTTTTTTTTTTTTTCCATATGACAGTCAGTGTTTCTGGCTTCCTGTGAGAAAGAATGTTAGTAAAATATTCATTAGAGAAAATATGTAGTTGTTAAATCCCTGATCTATATAGCAAACAATCAAATGTTTGGTTTCTTAAGAGAACAAGGAAGGAAGAACCATCCTCTTCAAAATCTTTTTAAAAAGGCCTTACTGCAGGTGTGCATCTGCAGACTCAGTGCAGAAATTCCTGTTTTATTGGCCTATTTTACTTTGGACAAGCTTTTCTTCTGTAGCAATAACTGGGGAAACTGGAAACAGTAGCCTTGACTAATCCATGTCAACTGCCTTTGTTTTCCTTCCAGTTACCCATTCTGTCTGAATGGAGTTGAGATGAAGTTTGTAAAGCATGCTTCCTGGAGTTGGTCTTGCGCTGAGATCCATGCCTTAATCATAACTAATAAGTCTGGGGCACGGATTTCAGAAGTCAGAGTATAACATTAAACTCAGTTAGTGGTTGGGAGCTTTTCTGTGTACAAAACAATCTCAGGCCGTTCCGGGCTTGTCTCTGCCAGAAAGATGACGTTTAAGCTGTAAGTTCACACTGACTCTTTTTTCAATCGTTAGGTTTTGACAACTTTGAGAGCCTGCTTGCTGGAGGCCATTGGATGGTGAGTTTGGGCTGCCTATTTCAAATTTGTTTCTTAGCACAGTAACTAGAAACTGCCTGCCTTTCAAAGTTCATCTTCCTGTACTCTCACAGTGCTTGTAAAATGATGCTGCTTTGGGAGCTCTCTGGATCAAAACAGCAGTTAAACAAACCAAAATGCTTAAAGATTTGTGAGGTATGACAATTGCTGTAAGAAAAATGTTGGTTTTTTTTGCCTCTTTGTTTAATAGGATAAACACTTCCATACTGCTCCACTGGAGAAGAATGTGCCTGTTCTCTTGGCCATGCTGGGGGTGTGGTATATAAATTGCTACGGATGTGAAACCCATGCGCTTCTGCCCTATGACCAATATATGCACCGCTTTGCTGCCTACTTTCAGCAGGTAAGATTCAACTGGAGCAGAAGATTTCAAAAAGCAAGGGTAAAGAATAAAGATATGTTTCTGACTTGGTTCTAGAACAAGAATGTATGTCTCAAGGTTAAAATTATAACTACACAAATTCATGTAGTCAGGGATGTAAAGTTGTGTGAAGATAGCTAAAATCCAATTTGTTCAAATAATTTAGATATTTTTTTCCATAGATGTCAGTTAAGTTTGTCTGCACATAAGCTGTTATGTATGCTTATGATATTTCTATAAATGAGCAGCACTTAAAGTATGTATGAAAGCTTGTACAGATAGTGTATGCTTCTGTGAGAGAGATAATAGTACTCTTCCCTTTTAGGGTGACATGGAATCTAATGGCAAATACATTACCAAGAAAGGATCTCGTGTGGACTACAGTACTGGTCCTATTGTGTGGGGAGAGCCTGGCACCAATGGGCAGCATGCATTTTACCAACTCATTCATCAAGGTAAAACAGAACATTCACTACTTTGTTTTGGAATTAATTCTGGCTACAAAGCTGTAAGAGTCTTCAGAATTGACACTAGTTTAGAAGCTAGGCTTGGGCTTCTGTTTAGGCTTGTGTGACAATACTATTCTGCCCTTAATTAGTGGTTTAGAAGGCCATAACATGTAGGTCTTTTTCCTAGAATGCAGAGAGGCAACTAAAACTGAAGCTATTAAGCTGTATTGTCATTTCCCCCTAATAAGTGACCTAGAAAATCTTTGAAGTGGCCGAGTCTACCAATAACTCAACATGAAGTGAGAAATTAGTGTTTTAAACTTCTAATGCAGGGCTCTTAACATGGCTTTTCTCATAGGAACACGCATGATTCCCTGTGACTTCATGATCCCAGTTCAGACTCAGCATCCAATCAGAAATGGCTTGCATCACAAGGTAATTAAATCTTTATCAGAATACTCGTCTTTCTTGTCGCTGAAGGCATTGAAGCTTATCCAGTATTGCAGTGCACCAGATTTCTAAATGTCCCTTTGAAAGCCATACATGCAGGCTCCGTGAATATTTGCAACAGATTTGAAAAAAATCCTGAATTATAGTTACTTGTTTAGAGGCATTCTTGTTCTTTAAGAACAGTGGTCTCATTATTGAGGCAGATCAACAGTGTGGCCTGTGGAGACTGGGAGGAGATGATAAACTAGGCTTGTGGAGATAAGCTACCTTGTAGGAATTTGAAGGAGTGTAACTCTTTGCAGAGTAGGAAGAAGCATATTATCAGAGCTGGTGAAAGTTTCCTCAGAGATGCTGTAGCAGTTCTTTCTACCAGCACGCTTAGGGTTGTAACCTCCCATGCAGATATTTAAAACCTGTTTTAGTTGTCCAGTAAGGGATTTTCAAGGAATGGTATTGAACTATTTGTTTCATATGTGGAAGCAAGTGTTCCGGTTTATCACTTGCTGCATAATTCAGAAAAAGCATGTCTTGTCAGCTGAACTTAGTATTATGATGATTTCAGGTTAAAAATATTTGGGTTCTGTACCAGCAACTTTCTTCAGTTGTAATACAAACTATGCTACTTACAAGATGGATCTGTGAAAGAGAAAATGTTTTCTTTTTCTTATAGATGCAATAAATGTTTATTTTCACTATAGCTGATAGGAAAAAGCTACCCATCAACTTGCAATTGAACATTAGGCAAGGAATAATAACCTTCTGTTGTATTGGTGTACTGTGAGAGTTATCCTTCACAGAGTAAAAACGTAATAGTTGTCCAATTTTGCTTTTCCACGAAGCATAGTCATTCTGAAAGGGATATACAAAATGCAACTTCCTTTGCTCGTGCTAGGATGTTCACTGTCTATTCCAACAGGAACAGGATTTCTCACAGCAACCCTGGGTGATTTTGAATGCATGCACTGTTGAAGTAGTAATCAGTAGCACTGATGTAAAAAGCAGTGGCAGGTGTAATACACAAAATAGCACACTTCACTGTTAAGTTTACTGTAGTGTTAAAAATATAACATGTCACTGGAGTATGTCTGTCTGGATTCAGGCACTGAGAATCACTTTTCTATCTAAGGAAATAATAGCTTGAGTTCATGTATTTATCTCTACCTCCTAGATCCTTTTGGCCAACTTCCTTGCCCAGACTGAGGCCTTGATGAAAGGAAAGACTGCTGATGAAGCTCGTAAGGAGCTGCAAGCAGCTGGACTGAGTGGAGATGCTCTGGAGAAGCTTCTTCCCCATAAGGTAAGCAGGCTCTGTCATTTTTTCAGTTTCCTTCTGATTAGTAGTACTACTGTGGTGAGGGATTTGTGGTGTTAAGCTGCATGATGGAGCTTGGTAAGGGGGGGCCATGCCCTCAGGTGGCTATGAAGTGCTACTGTCTTGACAGCAGTGAAAGTGGTACTGAAGGTTGTCAGGTGTAGTGGAGCAGTTTGTAAATGGCACTACCATTAAACATAAAAGACTTCCAGTCATTGAGGCATCTTGGAGGAAAAAAAGCTATCTCTTCAGTGTCCCAGGTTTGTATTTTGCTACTTTCCAGAGCTGTAGTGGTAGTAGCAGTGCTTGGAGATATCATTTTGCCATTGCTTTTAATAAGCAATGGAGAAAGTGCAGAGTATGAAGTATTGAAGAGGCAGCCTTTAAAGCTTTCTGGACTCTGTGATTCTGTATTTGCTGCTAATACAAATAATTTTATGTGGGCTGTAGGGAAAATGTGGAACTTGCATTAGAAACTCATTGCAATGCACTGTACTGTAATGTACTTCTTGTTTTTGAAAGGTCTTTGAGGGAAATCGCCCAACCAATTCCATCATGTTTACAAAACTCAACCCATTCACCTTGGGAGCAATCATTGGTAAGTAAATGGATCTTAAGACTGAAAATGCTCTTTAAGACTTCATGATAAGGTTATTGATCAAGTGTTGTTTTTTTCTTTATAGCCATGTATGAGCACAAGATATTTGTTCAGGGGGTTGTCTGGGATATTAACAGCTATGATCAGTGGGGGTAAGTTCTCTTGATCTGTTTCTTGTATACTTACTAACAGTTGTACTCCCTAATGTGTCATGCCTTAAAGAAGATGATTTAAATATTCCACTATTTTTCATCAAATATAGGATTGAACAGTTTTAAATGTAAGCCATGTGTTTACTTTTTTCTTTTTTTAAGGAATAGATCACAGTGTACCCTTGTCCAGCTATGAGTACCCTAAGTACAACTTCAGTTTGGGGACTTTTGCTTTTTAGATTAAGTAACTAACCAACTAGGAATGCTAAAAAGATACAAGAAGATAGTCAAGCAGTCTGATGGAATCTAAATAGAGAAGGTGGGGAGGGCAAATGAAATATGCTGTAGAACCATTTCCTTTCTTGGAGCAGTTAGAAGATTCTTGTTTCTTAACTCATTGGGATAGTCCTCTGTGGTGTTGAATAAAGCTTTTAGTCCCAAAGCTCAGCTGTTTATTGTCTTAGTGTTACAAATGAGTGCTTTGAGTGATGTGTTGAAAACTGAACAGGAGCAAGGTGAACACCTTCTGCTTTGGAGCTGGCTGCATAGTTCAAATCAGTGAAGGGGAAAACAGCACAGAGACTGCAAAACAAAGCTTTCTCTCTATCTTGTAACTTGAGCTGTCTGTTCAGCTAGGCAGCTGTACTTGTGAGAACTTCAGCTGTTTGTGAATGGCACTTGGTTAAATCATTTGTGCAGTGACTCAAACACTGACTTTTTTTTGACTGCCATGCTGCTCTCTACTGGCACAACTTTTAACATGCTTTATATGTTATCACAATTGTTTTTCCTCTCTATTCTCCTGTTTTTATAAATGCAGAGTTGAGCTTGGAAAACAGCTTGCCAAGAAAATTGAGCCCGAGTTGGAGTCAGATGCTGCAGTGACATCTCATGATAGCTCAACAAACGGGCTCATCAGTTTCATCAAAAAACACAGAGCCTGAAATGAAAGTTCCTGAGGACATCGACAATCTAACCACCGAATACTCAAGTCTGTTGTAGTTGTGCTTTTTAGCCACTTTTAACAAAAATAGCACTTTACTGATGTAGCTTCTTCACTTGTTGCAGTTGACCTCGTTGCGTCAAGTGTTATAAATGAAAACTAGTTTTGTGAAACCCAGAGATTCTATAGGTGCTTTCTATTTTTGTGGTTGTCAATCTGTAAAGTGCAGTTGGTACGTTCCTCACTTCTTATCCGTCAGCTTCCTTAAAGATGATCACAATGATATTAGAAAATAAAAGATGTGATGGATGAGTAGAAGTTCTTCATTCTGTATCTTTAAATACTAGGTGCAGACCTAGTAATGCTTGCCTTACTGTGTGTAAGGTTCTCTTAAAGCCATGTACACTGACTTCTGTCTGGCATGTCATTGCCCTAGTCTGGGTCTGCTGTATGCTAGAAGTATGTTCAAAGAAGCAAGTAATCTACAGCTATAAACATGCAGTTTGTATGATATGCATTTGAGCAAGATGCACATTATTTTCAGTGCTGCTGTGCAAGGTTTACAAATGGTTGATGGTCTGTATTTGTGTTTCTTCAGAAGCTATGGAAGCTCTGCACAGATGGCTTTTTACTTCAGAAGGCAGGAAAGCTTCTGGAGTGATAGTGATACCTTTATTTTCCAAACTGTTTTCAAGAGCTTATGTGAAACTGAAGTCTGGCATTGTTTGCAGCTGTGTATTTTGATATCCTCCACAGGCAGCTCGTCTCACTCATCTCAGTCTTAAGTGGGCATCACTATTCTAACAGAATTGAATAGAGTGCAGTATCAGTATGTGTGAATAAGCTGCTCGTATCCTCTAATTCTCTACTGCTGTTACCCTTCGTGTTAGCAGAGGAGCATGCTGTGCCTGTTTTCTCCATAACACCTTTATTAAAAAGGTAAGACACAAGCATGGAAGAGAAAAATAAGATGGATTAACTGTGAGTCTCAGCAAATTTCCATGACAAATGCTATTGTTCAGAAAGTCTGAGCCCATACCTCTTAATGTGCATGTCTGCTGCTTATACATTAACTGACAGCACTGCCAGTTAATCACCATTGCCGCACCAGTAATCCCTTCATAGACCTTGGCAGCTATTGCATGGATATGAACTTCACTCTGTGTCTCTTTTGTGTGTGTGTGCTCTGGATTTGATACGAGCTTTACAAAGCGTTTTCTCCATGAAGCACTGTCACCACTCCCCACCCTTAGTAGGAGGTGGGATACTTTCCTAGCAAGCTGTACGACTTCTGTTCAGCTGTGAAAGAGCTCCCCTTGGTGGTAAGGGAGTGAACTGTGCTTGCTGTGGTCCAAGGGCTGAGGGGAAGGCTGTCGTTTTTGTTTGGGTGGTACTCTGCAAATTCCAAACTCCAGAAGCTTTTCTTGGAGAAGGAAGTGAAAGAAAGTTCTTGTTCTCTAACTCTGTAAAGAATGCATCTTGGGGAAGAGTATGTGTTGGTTTATCAGCCTGATTGCTGTTGTGAAACAAGCGCTCTTGCTAAAGGGAGGGCAGCAGCAGGTGCTGTTAGCTTGCAACCACAGAAACCATGCAGTACGACAGCAGTAAGATCACAATAATGGTTGTGTGTAATAAAACAATATTCAAGCAATGGTGCTGTCAGACCTTGTTTAGATTTCAGCCCCCACTACTCATGCTGGTAGCATTTCAAAATTGCTGCATAAAGAAGGAGGGGGGGAAAAAAGCAGTAGGACGCTGGTTGTCACCAGGTACCCAGCAAGCTGATGGACCGCCGCCCTTCCCGCGCGGCAGCTCGGCGCGTGCCGCAGCCCCGTGGCGCCACCTGGTGGCTCGCGCTCCTGTGAGGGCTGGGTGGAGATCGAGGGCTGGGAGCCCCGCGCATGCGTTCCTCAGAATCCTCGCTCGTTCCGGTGTCTTTTCCAACTTGCAAGAGCTCTCGGGGCTGCCCGAGCTGTGCTGTTTGCTACTTGGAGGTCACGTTAGTAAATCACAAAGCGCCATTCTGGAGGGGGTTCCCACCTGCGACTTGCCCGTGCATCAGCCTGTGTGCTGGAATTACTGCGACGGTCAGAGCAGAAAGTGTGGAGATGGCCGCTCCTGATGTTGCGAAATCCAGCCACAGGGAGAAAAGAGGGAACAAAGCCTTAGGGGAGGTTCTCCCTGCAGCCGGGTTGGGCGGGCTGCACTGTGGAGATAGGGTGCTCGTGAAGGTGACTGGCTGCCTGCTAAATGGGTGCAGGAGTCCATTTTGCAGCCTCCTGTTAATTGGTTTTCTTCTAAGTGCGTAGATGGTCAGCTTGAAGCCTCATCCAGAAAGGAGCAGCAGGTGCTGGAAGCACAGCCGCCCGAGGAGGCGACGCAGAGCACTGCTGTACCGTGTGCTGGGTGAGGGGGCAGCCTGGAGATGGGGTGCGATCTGCAGAATGGAGGCATCTAGCCATGAACAAAACCCAGCGAGCTGCTTGTAAATGATGCTCTAGTGATGAAAATGTCAAACTCACCAAGTTTGACCAGGAAACTGTAATGGATGTGGCTGAGCTCCCTGATGACATTCTGTTATCACCCTTTTGTCATCCTTTATACTGCAAGAGAGAATAAAAGCCAGCAGGTTCTGCTGAGTTACAGAATGCAGAAATAGCATTTGTTCTGGAGAGCATAGAATTCCAGTGAGATGGGAGCAAAGGAGAGCATTTTGCTGTATTTTGTGATGGAAGTAACTAAAGAGGAAGTAACATGTCTAAAGTAAGCAGAAGCTTATTGGTCCCTTGAGCTGTAACAAGATCTTCCGATCCTCAGCCTTGTGTGTGAGCCACAGGACACGTGCTTCTCTTGCAGGCCTTTAAGGAAACACAGCATGGGATGCTTCATTGGGTTACACAGGTAAGGCGATGATGTATGTGTACAAAAAAGCACTGAGTAAGCATGAAGGTGGTGGACTGAAATCTACTACCAAGAAGTCATAACAAGCTGTTCCAAGTCAAAACTGATCTGCAAATGTATTTTAAAAGTTCCTGAGAAGGAAATTACTCTGTTGGAGGGAAAACTTAAAAATTTCTAAAGGAAATGATAAATTCAACTTGTATTCCCACTGGAAATGCGCTTGTTATAGGCTGTGTGGGAACAAGATTAGAAGAGGAATATATTTGCATTATAATTTGATCTAAAAAGACTGTGTCTGGGAGCTATGATTACAGTGATGATACCTGCGGTTCCTTTGTTTAAAGAGAATTTAATTATAATTGATAAGCAATTTGCTTTTGTCCAATTTGGAAGGACGATCTGATGGATTGTTTTAATTTCCTAAGTATTCAGCAGTAAGTGCCAAGTTTCTGCAGGCTTAATGATCATAAACAAATTTAGCTTGGGCTGCTTGAAGAGTGGTAAGATGAGTAGAATTTCCCAGGACATGCAGAAAGCCTAAATTGAATCTGTTGCAGTTTTGGAAAAAGTAGATCGGCAGTGTCAGGTCTCAAGCAGGTGAGCTGTGATTCTGCATGGGTTGAACAAATGACAGGAAGATTTTTTTCATCATTTATATTGCCTGGAAGATCATGAAGATAAAGGTGCTTTTGCTCACGTTCTCTTAAAAGATCTCTAGTAATTCTTGCTGCTGTATTTTTGTTGTTGAAGTGGATTTCAGAGAGAAAACTTAGGTAGGCTCATGAAGAACATAGTAATGAAGTTTAGAGTGTTAAAATTTTACTGTCAGGCTTTCAGTACAATCGTGTCAACTCTGACGTAGATAGATGTGGCTTGCAGACTATGTTAAAAGCAGTATTTTAGGGACAGTGCAGCATGAAGAATGAAAAGCTCTTTGGATTCCAGACTTAAGTGTTAACTTGTATTATTTATAAAAATTCTGCGGAGAATGTCACTCTTCAGTTGCTGTCTCAGACTTGAATGCCAGTAACTATATTGCTGTCCTTTCTTTGAGAGGCATTTCAAGTTTTTGTTAGTTTTGCAGCACACTGAGATTGTCTAAATAGAGCAGATAAAAAGTAGTCATAGAACTATGTATTTCTGGAAGGTTGGTCATGTACAGATGACTTTATTAAACCCTCAGGTTTTTTTCTATGTTCTTTCACATCTTGGCTTTTCTGCCAGAAGAAAAATTGAAAATTCTGATGTTCTTATAGAGGAAAAAACAAATGAAAACAAAAATGTTGTTCCCAAACCTGCTGAATATAACTGCAATTTCATTCTGAGTCAACTTTCAAAAGTGTTTGTAGTCAGGTTGTCAGATTCAGAGTATCTGATGTTACTTGATGGTATCACAGGTAGACAAAATTCTCAACATTCTCTCAACTGTATGTTTCAAGACTTGTGTTATGTTCAAAGAAATATTTGCCTAGATTTGTGGACTTACGAGTCCCCTGGGGAGAAAAGATGCCCAGTGTGGCTGCCCCCTTGATCCCTACTGAATGGGGCTGTCCAGGTTGTGAGAAATGAAAGGGCTGGTCAGGGAGTGGGGTGGGGGTGGGGGGGTCCTTTTGGGGTCTGGAAGTAGGCTGCACAGTGGATTCAAGTGAAGTAAGAGCTAGCTGTCAGGAAGGCTGCTAAGAAGTTGACCTGGGACCATGCATCTGAAGTGTGTGGCAATTCCTGGAAAGGCTGAGCTCTGCCTTTCATCTTTAACAACAGCCACAAGGGGCAATATCTGGAAGAAAGATCCCTCTCACTTAGGGTACAGGATAAAAGCTTACCACTTAACAGATGGATTGTGAGTGCTAGTGAACTGTATATATGTGTGTGTATATGTATATATGTGCTTGTGTATGTAAGTACATAATGGAATATACTATATATATATATATTCCATTATATATATATATATAGCCTTGGGTAACAATTCCAGTACTTTTTTGTTGAATATTCTTGTCTGGTTTGGGACTAATGAAAAGCACTACTTTTGTCTTTACAAGTCAATAAACTGATTAATGGTGGTGGGTTGCTGTGCCAGCAGAGCTTCTGACTTTAGGGCTGACTCTCCAGTCTTCTCAAGAAATGCATTAGTAATCGTAATATTGTTTTAACTGTACAAACAAATCTCAATGCAGCTTTGCTTTTCTACTCTGATAAATTATCTAATGGTTCTTTTTAACATTTGCTTTGTTCTCACAAGCCTGTGATAAACGTTGGCACAGACAACTGAAGGGCTGTTGGCGTACCTCTGTGGCCGAATAGTCTGTGGTGTAGCAGTGCTTCCTGGACCACTTAAGAAAATTATAAGAGACAGTACAAGGCGTCATCTGGAGGCTTGCTGGAGTTTTCCACAACATTCCGTAAATAACTGTCTTGATTCTGATCTTCAGTGGACTTTCAGCATAAATTGCATCATTTGAAGTGTTGTGATGATGTATTTTCTAAGCCTTGTTCAGTTCTCAGGATACATGCCTGCTACTTAGAATGATAGTACATCTTAAGATGACAAAGAGGTGAAAAAGAAAAGGTATGGAGTCTTTGTCAGCTTTCATGTTCGTGTATGGAGCATGGCATGGTATACTGGCTGGCCAAGATGCGTGAATACCAGTCTAGGTCAAATGCTGTTTAGTTGTATTTGCACAGGATTGAGATTTTACTGAGAAAACCTCTTGACTCACAATTGATAACTAGACTTTCATGTACATGTGAAAATGTCACATTGACTTCAATACACATTAGTCTGGCCCTTGAGTTAACTGCAGTCTTGAGGCAATTCTGTTGATGTGGATTGTTCTGCAAAAGTTTTGGACTATTTCAGCATGGCTACAGATATGTTTCTCTGTAGAGTTGAAAACAAGTCTCCATGCTGATGGTGATGCACATGCAAGGAACTTAAAATGTTGTCTGCAGAATCAAACGTAGTTTCATAGCCTTTTTCAGAGGTAAGCAGTACTTCATGATGAAAGACACCAATTTTATTTGGATCCTTCGGGACTAAATTGAAGTT